CTCGTGAATTTTGTTTGTATCTGGAAAAAAAAGTTACAAGCGAAAACATTGGTGAATGCCACAAATTCTCCTAAATCACTCGTACGCACAATTTAAGAACAAATCTGTGCGTACGAACGGTTCTTGCATGAGGCCCAATGACTCTGCACTTCGCGTGCGGGGGTCATAACAAAGAATCAATTCCACCTGCTTGGACAGAGGAGGTGGGTAGAGATGTTACAGCTACAGAACATGTCATTGTGTGTTGTCTGTTTGTAATTTTATTTCCCTACACATATTTCGTAAACTTCCATAAATTAAATTATCAACGTTCTTTCAAACATATTTTCTATTGATATCCATCAAGTGTTTATCGCTAGATATATTGTTATCACTGGAAATGATACCCAGGCAGGGCCTTACAATGCAAAAATGATATAAATCAGTGCTATCAGAGGTGGAACCACTGATGTAAAAAAAATGCCACAGTACAGCAGCTCAGTAATGTGAAAAACTAACGAAATTAAAGTGCGATTGCCCCCTCGCAGGATTAAACAACAGATTTATTATAGAGGGATTACTGATGATGATGCACAGTAACTTTATAGTTAGTTTAAATAAATAATATTATAAATAATAATAAACAGTTTTGAGAGACTATTTTATGGAAGAGACTTTTGTGAGCTGAACTTGAAGAGTTGCATACCACACGCAGACTTTCGTGAAAACGTTTCAGACTAAGATAGGATGTCAAAAAATGATTTTAAAACATCCTGTTAGTGTGTTGTGCGTGACTCTCAGCAATGTATTTTAAATTTTAGCTCAGTGTCTGTAAAAATGGCTGAGTTACAGCGATTTTAGCGTTAGCCAAGGCTGATTAGTTGTGGTGGCCATCTTGAATTGGTTGTAGATCGATTATTGTTTCCCGAAAGAGTCTTTAAAATTTGTCGAGTGCATGAGCCATGAGCCTTGATAATAAAACTCACCTGGGGTTAACCTCTGACTGTGGGATGTTCAAACGTGCAGCGATGTCTTCAACAGTCTCGTTGCCCTCTGAGATGATGCCCACACCTTTAGCGATGGCCTTGGCTGTGATAGGATGGTCACCGGTCACCATGATAACCTGAAAGGAAAACAAGACTTAGCTCAGAGTTCTTAGTTTCACAAAGCCCTGTGAGAAATTTTCGTTGGACTATTTTGAAACACCAAAAACAAAACAAAACAAAAAAACCTTGATTCCAGCGCTCCTGCATTTGCCCACAGCATCCGGCACGGCAGCACGAGGAGGGTCGATCATGGCCATGAGGCCAATGAAACACAGCTTCTCAGTGGGGAAGTTCACGTCTTCTGTGTCAAAAGCAAATCCGTCTGGGAACTGGTCGTCAGGCAGGTGGAAATGGCAGAAACCTGTTTGAAGAAAAAAATGGGCAAACTAACTCAATTCACTTTCACCTGGTTCGGATGTTATCAGTCCATTAAATGGACATTATTAGCAGTAGAATGGCTTCAGACTGTCTCGACAGTGCCCCCTAGTGGGTTACCAGTGCTATTTATGTTGGAATGCAACAATCTGCTACCGCCGGAGTCCGGTCTACTTTATCGTAGCCCATGTCATTTTCTCTAAAATTAACCTTAGTGGTTTTATGCCTCAGATTAACCAGCTGACAGTCTGAAGCTATTCTATGGGACTGATAATGACTAATAATGTCCATTTAATGGATGATAACATCTGAAGTGGGTGATTTACTTTTACAGAACTTTCCCAAACCTAAAGTTCTTACCAAAGTACTATCAAGACAAAAACAAGCTAGTAAAAATATAAAACAGTAGTTTTTTAAAAAAAAAAATACAACCCCAATTCTATTAAAATGTGATGTTTTGCAAATTAATGCAATAAATTATAAATCACACAAACCAATATTTTATTTTTAGAAAAACAGCAAAATAAGTAAATGTTTCTGATGCATTAAATGGGTTTAACAGGCAGGTTCAGAACCAGGACTTTTCTACTCTGAAGCCATAGTTTTTGTAAGATAGTTAAGCATCGTCTTGCTGACATAAGCAAAGCCTTCCCTGAAAAAAAAAAAAAAAAAAACAACACCTTGATGAACGTATAATGTATGAAAACAAGGGTGGGCAATCCTGGTCCTCGAGGGGCCGCTATCCTGCATGTTTTACATGTTTCTCTGCTCCAACACAGGGTCAGGGATTGAATCGCCTCTTTGGTGCGTTCACACCAAAAGCGATTTCAGCATCAGGAGCAGCAGGTTTACATGCAAAGTCTATGGTGGACGCGCTTCAAGCAGCATCGGGAAGGGCTGCTGCGCCTCAAGCGTGATTAGAGCAGCGCGATTTGAACGATTTGAACGATCTGAGCGTTCGACGTGCTGAGGCGCAAATCGCTGAAGTTAGAAAATCTGAACTTTTGCAGCTCGACGCGCCGCGTCAACCAATCAGAGAGACTCCACTGTGTGACGTAGCAACATAT